CTTCCTTAAGAACATATTTGTGACAAAAATGTTTTAATAGTTGTATATTTTGAGGTGATATTTTAAAAGTACAAAAATTGAAAATTAACCAAACCGTATTGATACCGAAGAAAAATCGATATAATCTTAAGATAAAAAAAAATTAAAATCTAATTTTAATTATACATTATAAATACCCAAAAAAATGGAATGATATATTTTTTAGAAAAATAACAGATTCAACCGTCTCAGACACCCCTAATGTTTATTCATTAATAACCGGCGCCTGGCGGTAAAAGTGATTGATCATGATGGCAGTACAGTAGTTGCTAGACTAGAGTAGTGGTAAAGATCAGTTTCACAGGATATATAAATTAATAACTTAGTTGTTTTAGATCCTATATAAGATCTCAATGAATCAGACATATCTGATACAAATAAATGGTTGTACAACAATAAAAAAAAACGCACTAAAGATGAATTGAGATCTAAACTACAATAAGATTCAAATCTCTATTAAACAAAAACAAATATGACTAGAGAATAAAAGGTTCATATTTCAACTAGGCAAACTGATCACCAGTTCCTCGAAATAGTATCAAATATCTTAGAGACATCCAACAAAAAAGGTCTTTGAAATATTTTGTATCCTATGACACTATTAGCTAAAATTTAAAATTGGGAATTTCAAAACATTACAATTTGCATAATTTGAAAACTATATAAAACTTGTTGAAGAAGAAGGAAGCTGGCGACTAGAACATGTCAAAGGAACAACTCAAACGAAGTTGACTGACGAGTCTACATCGAAGTGTTGAAGATGAAGGAAGCTGATGATTGGAACATGTCAAAGGAACAGGTCCAACGAAGTTGACTGACGAGTTTACATCACTGTTGTAGAATTAGAGTCGCACTAGGATTAAACTACTTATATTAATTAGGATTATATTACGACTAGGATTAGATTACGATTAGGATTAGATTATGACTAGAATTATATTATGACTATGATTAGATTATTTATAATTGCATTATTATTATTACAATAGTAATATGTATTGTAGTAGGACTCTAAGTATAGTTAACTTAGGACTACAATTCTCTCCCAATTTAAGGAGTATGTGCTTAACAATTTTAATCATCAATACAATCCTTGATTTCTCTAATCCTAGGGCTGAGATTTCTACATGGTATCAGAGCATAAAAGCTCCTCCGCTCTCTGAGTATTGATAAAAAAAACAAAAAAAACACACACGTTGCAATGACCACTTCTACCAAAAATATGTCGACCTCCTTACTTCACCAACTCATTGTCACTTGCTCCATTAAACTTAAGCCAACAAACTACCTCATAAAGAGGATACACATATCCCAATTGATTCAAATCACAGAGAATGAACCAAGTAAAAGTAGTTGTTCCACTGAACAGACTGCTGGAAAAGTTGTAGCGGTTGAGAAAAATGCAAAAGATAGTGGCACCATTGATGGTTGGAAGGAGAAAGATATGTTACTAAGGAATTGGATTTCAGACACCTTGACCGAAGAAAGCATGTACCTAACTGTAGACTGCTCAACTGCCAAGGAGATATGGGAATGTTTGGAAGAAACTTATCTTCAAACAACAAAAGAAAAAAAGTTTTAGCTTAAACAACTACAAAGTGTTAGGCTAGGAACCAAAAATATTGATGAATACATCAAGGAATTTAAAGGCATATGTGAAAAGTCATGCCCCAAAATCATGTTAGGCAGGGGAAGAGGAAACAACAACATCACCTCCAGAGAAACATGTTTCAAGCCTACTGGACAAGAAACAGGTTCTCAGAACAGTCAATATGGACCAGGTTCTTTGAAAAATAAAAGTTTCCAAAGTGAAAATAAGGAGAGGAATAATATTGAGTCATGTCAAATCTGTGGTAGGAATAATCATACTATTCTTAAGTGTTTTTACTGATGGAACTACTCCTATCAATCTGCAGATAAACTATCACAAGCAACGACTAGACATCACATTCATATCGAAGCATTGACAAAACAAGTTTTTGCTGGGTATTCAAAGTTTTTTTTTGTTGGATATTTGAAGCAAGCTAGGAGTAACCGTTCCTCTACTCACTAGCTTGAGGGGAAGTGTTGAAGAAAAAGAAAGCTGGCGATTGGAACATGTCAAAGGAACAGCTCCAACGAAGTTAACTGACGTGTCTACATCGAAGTGTTGAAGATGAAGGAAGCTGATGATTGGAACATGTCAAAGGAATAGGTCCAACAAAGTTGACTGACGAGTTTACATCACTGTTGTAGAATTAGAGTCGCACTAGGATTAGACTACTTATATTAATTAGGATTATATTATGACTAGGATTAGATTACGATTAGGATTAGATTACGATTAGAATTATATTATGATTATGATAGATTATTTATAATTGCATTATTATTATTACAGTAGTAATAGGTATTGTAGTAGAACTCTAAGTATAGTTAACTTAGGACTCTACAATTCTCTCCCTATATAAGGAGTATGTACTTAACAATTTTAATCATCTATACAATCCTTAATTTCTCTAATCCTAGACGTGAGATTTCTACAAAACTGAGGTACAAGATGAACACCATGGAGAACGTATTGAAGTTATTTCAAATCTATCATCTTCAAGGGGTAATTTTTGGTCCAAACTATAGTGCACGTGGGGTAACAAGAATCATAAAATTAGATATCTTAGGTAATTATTTTTAAAAATTGATCTAAAGCTATCTACTTGCTACCATGCTCCAAAACAATTGAACGGTGCACTTAGTTAAATGATAAGCTACTTAGACAAAGAAATCGATATCAAATCGTACATGCAGGACCACTTAGGCTGCATCTACATAATTAAAAACATTGACATAAATATGAATATCAGTAATTTGGAGTTTAGCATAATCTTTCAATAATTCAAGTAGGTCCTAAATTGAATAGGTTTGTAATCTTATCAAACTCTATTATTCTCGTCTACCTAAACGGACCACCTTTAATTTACTTCCCAAAAAATGAAGAACAAAATTCCTTCTTTGCCTCAAGTAGGCTGCCCTTCTTCCTACATCAGTCCTTACATCTGCCTTTATGATTTATCATTAGGGATGACAATGAGAGAGTGTGAGTGTGGGGTGGGGTGGTGTGGGTTTAGACATATACAGGTCGGGGCAGGTTTAGATATATGCGGGTGTGGGATGGGGTTGTATGGGTTTAGACATATACGGGTCGGGGCAGGTTTAGATATATGCGGGTGTGGGGTGGGGTTGTATGGATTTAGACATATACGGGTCGGGGCAGGTTTAGATATATGCGGGTGTGGGGTGGGGTTGTATGGATTTAGACATATACGGGTCGGGGCAGGTTTAGATATATGCGGGTGTGAAGCGGGTGCAGGTAGGGTTAGGAATTTCCTCTTCTCAAATAGGCACTTGTTTTGTGTTTGATGATATGTTTCAGTTAAGGGTGTGCATCGGTCGGTTTGTTCCAGTTTTATGTATTATGGGTTCGATTTATCGGTTTTTGATTTTTAAATATGTTAAAAATATTTTTTTTATCAGTTTTCGATTATCCTTAACGGTTCGATTTTGATTTAATCAATAAGAAAATGCTGATAAAATATTTGTATGGTTTCTCCAATAATTTGATGACAAGACAATAATGTAACTTTACAAATGCTCATAAAAGAGAAATAATAATAAGTAACATGAAAAGAATTATACAGACGTAACATAAAGAAAACTTAAGAGGAATAGGGTTCTTACTTTAGGTTTTGACATTTTGTATAATGTAAAGTCGTGAACTCAAAATAAATTGTGAAGTGTGAATTGAGTGCTAAATTGCAAAGACAGTAACTAGTAAGGTATTGAAATTAATATTTAATATTTATGTATCGACTATGGGTAAAGTAGTACATTACTATAGTCTTAATGTGTTATCGATTTACCCAATAACCTAATATTTAAAAAGCAAAATCAAATCGATAAGCCGATAATTTCTTTTATAAAATCATTAACCTAATAACTCAATAGCAATAAATTAAATAACACTTTTTTCAATTCGATTTATCCATCGGTTCAATTTTTACACACTCCTATGTTTCACCTATTTGCACAATGTCAAAATTGAATAGAAAGTATCTATCTGTACATCCTAATTAAGTAGAACAGAATAAACGTAAAATGCAATATAAAAAAAGTTCACACTTGAAGGGGTACAAGATGAGAAGACAATGTTAAATTAGGTCTTAGGCCTAACTCACATCTCAAAAGTTAGCTCAAAGGGAGGAGGATTGTCCAAGCCTTATAAGGAATCCACCCATCTCATTAACCACCGATGTGAGATTTTTGTCATTCTTTAACACCCCACCTCACGGCCAGTGCTTAGCATCTGGTGCGTGGACAATTTTGATTTTGGGGGCCCCAACATCGGGTGAGACGGGTCATGCTCTGATACCATGTTAAATTAGGTTTTGGGCCTAACTCACACCCCAAAAGCTAGCTCAAAGGGAGGAGGATTGCCCAAGCCTTATAAGGAGTCCACCCATCTCATTAACCACCGATGTGTGTATGGAGTTTGTTTATATTTTAGGCCCTAAATTGAAATTTCACTTTAGGCCCCAATCACGCTGAGCCGCCCTTGTCAGTGTATTTATTATTCATATTGTTCATTTTGGCCTACTAAGATAGTAAAAATTCTCAATACTGCAACCAGTATCCTGAATTTCTGTCCTAAGTTGTAACAACCAGGATCCTTGCAAACTATATATGCAGGACCACTTAATTAAAAACATTGACATAAATATGAATATCAATAATTTGGAGTAGCACCATCGATCTTTCAATTATTCAAGTAGGACCTAAATTGAATATGTTTGTATTCTATCAAACTCTATTATTCTCCGTCTACCTAAAGGGACCGCCATTACTTCCCAAAAAAAATCAACAACAAAATTCCATACATCTACCATTATGACTAATCACACACAATCCTTAACAACCACGATAAATGGGATATATATTTGTACATCCTAATTAGTAGAACAGAATAAAAGTAAAATTGAATATGAGAAAATTCACACTTGAAGTAATACCAGTTGAGAGAATTTAAGACATGAATAGCATCAACTTTGACACAGACAAAATGGAAAAGCATCTGGATGGATCCCGAGATTATTAGTAGCAAATAATTTAAAACAGGGGAATCGGATAGCAGCACACTTAACAGTTGACACCATTCTACAACTACTATCTAAAACTGATGTACAAGATGAACACCATGTTTCAAATATATCATGATCAATTACCAACGAAAGTTGAAAATGCCTTCTTCACATTCTTAGAATTGACTCGAAAACGCTTTGAATTCCCCATTCTGCATCCAAAACAGAGTGTTGAAGTTGGTGAAGAAGGGATCTGCTGCATCTTGTCATGATCATACTCCTCAAAACGGTAATTTCTTCTGTTCGAAGAATTATAAGCCATAGTTTGTACGGATGAAATTGAAAATGACGACGACGAACAAGACGATGAAACAGAAGGAGAAGTTGTGATTCTCTTGGAGGGAATGATTTTAGGGAAAATCGAAAAGAAGAAATTTGATTTTGATTGTTTTCGCAATGGAGCATTAGTTTGATAAGAAGGTGGAGGAGTAAGTGGAGGAAGAGAAATATCTGAGAATTTGTGTTTAGGAGTACCTGGTTGAGATTCCCAAACAAATGGAATTGAACCAGAAGATCCTCCACAGTAATAATACCTGAAAGAAGACTCACCTCCTTTTACAGTGCTTTCCTTAGACAAAAGCCTTGAGAAGAACTTGTCATCTTGTTTGATTAGTAGAAAATCTGCAGAATGATGATGAGATCTATTATTATTATTATTATTATCACCACTCACCATTTTTCTTCTTTTTTCCCTGTGTTTCTGTTCTGCTTCTGCACTTCACTGCTTCAAGATCTGAAGTAGAGGGAGGGCAAAGGGAAATAATAAAAGATTTGAAGCTAAGATTTCAATTGGATATTTATTTTTGTATATATTCCAATCTAGTCTATTTTTAAATAATTAAAGGGGGTCTGAAAATGGGTGTTGAATTAAATGCATAGTTAGTGTAAACTGATTTAAAGGAGACCATGCACAGAAATGAAGGGCATTTTGTTTTTTAGGAATTTGTCTTCACTGGGATTATTAGTTTATTATTGCCTTGACCTGCTGAGCATATTTTTATTAGCTAATGTTAGGCTTTGTCATACCCCTCTTTGTTGAGATATTTTTTATTTTCAAATTAATTTAATTGTTCAATTTTCAAGACTACTTTTAGAGTATTCTTCCAATGTTATCCTTCATTAGTTAGTATTGGAATTAGTGATTAATTAATATTTAGTTATTTTAATTATAAATTTTACAATAATTAATGAGGATAAAAATGAAAAGTTATGCCTAATTTATGTCTTAATCTTCTTTTCTTAAAAGGGGTGAAACACCTCAACAATTCAATTAATTTGAAATGGAGGGAGTACCTCTAAAGAAAATAGTACTCTTTTTATTCTAAATTAATGATTATTTTTTATTTTATTAGATAATTTAAGAAATCTATATTTTGTTATTGTTCATATCAATACACATAAAAATTATAGTAGAGGAATAGCTAGTCTTGAAAATTATTCACGGTCCAAATGACCTATTAATTGTAGGCGTAAAGTAAAAAAAATTAATTAATTTTATCCTGATTAAGTAACTAATCAAATAATATGGGATAACTTATTTTAGTAAGATGTTCATATAATATGGGACAAAGAGAGTATTTATTAAAAATTTATGTATTATATATAATTTTAAAAAATATTATTATGTCAAGAAATTTATTTATTATAGTTATTTTGTTAACTATGCTTTATAAATTCAAATCTTATCATTACTATTTTATATAATTATTTAATAATAAATTTATCTTGATTTATTAAAATGTGTAAGTAAAATGATTTTTTTTTTGTTTTTAATATATGAGCCAACTAAAATAAAATTGAGGGAGTACAAGAAAAAAAAAGATTTTTTTCAAACACCAACTAATGTGAGGTCAGTTTATTTAAATATTTTGAGGTCATTTAAGAGTGAGATTTTGTGTATTAGCTAGTGCGTTGTACTACTTTGAGTAAAATGAGATTTAATGCAGTTGGCAGGTAGTTATAATTATTAGTAAACTATTTTATTATTTTCTTCAAAAAATAAACCAATTTCTTTATATTCCTCAAAATATTCTAGGCCATTGATTAGATAGATTTTTTTTTTTTGGTTTCTAATTGGTTGTTGGATATCTACACTAGAGTCTGATTAAATTCGGATTCGTCCACTTTGGAAGGTAAAGCATTCCCATTAAAGACGAGTTCATATCCAAGGAGATCATATTTAAAACTTTTAATTACGAATGACGGAGTATTTAACACTCCACCATAACCCTTGTTAATACTGATTAGACAAATTATCTCGATTCTCGAACATTCGATGTGATCTTCCTCAAAATTGAATTAGGAAGAAATAAATTGGGTAGAGATGGGTAGGAAGATGGATGTAATAAATGGGAAATGGAAGTGGTCCATGACTATTTAAGGTAAAGTTGTTTCCATGGTTGATGAGAAGACAAGCTTCGTTTGGTTATGTGACTTTTCATCCAAATTAATTACTCTCCAATAATAAATTCCAAAATACAACGAATTGGACGTATACCTACATGTCTAAGTAAAAAAAATTTTAAAAATTATGTTTTTATTGAATGTGTAACAATTTTTTAACTATCGAACATAATTGATATTGGTTGTAGTGTATTTAAGTTCAATTCTATCGTCACAGGAAGGATAAATATTGTTTAAATATATTTTAGTTATTTAATTATATAAATATTAATTCACTCAATAGTTTGAAATAATTACATATTGTCTTACTAATTAATAATTGTGTATCATATTTTAAGTGTAATAATCCACTCCTTCAAAATTCAAGTTAGATATATTATGAAATACAAATACATAGGGATGGAGGGAGGCCAGAGAGAGAGAAGAGAGGAAAGCGAGATATGAGAGAGGTGAGTGAGAGAGTCAGTGTATCTTAGATACATGTGAATCACACTAGATACATTCATATACATTTTGAAATATATATATATATAGATAGATAGATAGATATATAGATACATACATACATACATAAGGATAGAGGCGAGAGAGAGAGGGGCGAGCAAGAGAGTTAGTGTGTCACAAATTCATACAAATCATGTTTGCATACAGTGTGTATATATATATATATATATAGATAGATAGATATATAGATACATACATACATACATAAGGATAGAGGCGAGAGAGAGAGGGGCGAGCAAGAGAGTTAGTGTGTCACAAATTCATACAAATCATGTTTGCATACAGTGTATCTAAAACAAATTACATTTAATTTGATTTGCATGTAACCGAATTACATATATCTAAGTGTGTTAGATACATGAATTTGGTGAAGTAAATATAGCACAAAAGATAATTTTGAAAAATATATATAATTAGATGGTAAACTAGTGGAATTTGTGTTTTTTCTCTATATTTCATGAGATCAAGAGAAAGTTTATCAGAGTTGATGTCCTAAAACAAAATCATATTTAAACGCCTCTTAATTAAACTTATTTCACAAGATCTATTCGTTAATGAGGCACTAAAAATTTGTTTTATGTACTAATATATGACTATGACTAGTCACAAGAGTCCGTGCCAGCACGAGCTCAATATATGTTATTTTCTTGTTTCAATTTATGTGACACAAATAGGTTTTGAAGAGTTAATCAATTTTTAAATATATTTTTATAAGATATTTAAAGTTGTTAATTATTGTGATTTAATATTTTCTATGTAATTTTCAATAATATATGTTACTCTCTATGTTCCAATTTATTTGGTACGGTAGATTTTTTCTGCCTTTTAATTTTAAAGTTATTAGTTATTTTGATTTATTGTATTTTTACGTCATTTTTAAATAATATATGTTACTTCCTTTGTTAGAATTTATGTGACACATATAAAATCTTGAGAGTCAATCAAACTTTTATATGTCTGTTAAATATTTTAAGTTGTTAATTATTGTGATTTATAGTACCTTTTACGTAAATTTCAAATAATATATGCTACTTTTTCGACACAATTTATATGACACTGATAGAATTTTGAGAACCATTTAGAATTTTTATATGTTTTTAAAATAATTAAATTGTTAATTACTGTGACTTGTAGTACAGTTTACGTGATTTTTAAAATATATAACAGATTCTAAAAATACAAGAATTTCAAATATTTTAAGTTTCTAATTATTGTGATTTAAAATATTTTTTACGTAATTTTTAAATATCAGACAAATTCAAAAAAATATAAAATTTTCAAAACTACCCCCCGAATAGAAGCAAGATGTTAACGAAGAGTTGCTTGCTTCCGGCAGCTGAAGCAAGCATGTTGACCCCAAGCAGGTCAATGTAGCCGCTTATTAATAAGAGAAAATCAATCAGATTACATGACAAAAGAAAATAAATAATTCAGAGAAATTGAGTATTTAAATTGTGAGAAACGTAAAAAATGAAAGGAGTATACATTTACCAACAACGGTTATGCTGAGATGAATAGGATCCCTCCATTTTTAATCAAAAGAACTGGGTATGGATCACGTCGGAGAAATTGAGTATTTAAATTGTGAGAAACGTGAAAAATGAAATGAGTATACATTTACCAACAACAGTTATGCTGAGATGAATAGGATCCCTCCATTTTTAATCTAAAGATCTGGGTATGGATCACGTCGGAGAAATTGGGTATTTAAATTGTGAGAAACATGAAAAATGAAATGAGTATACATTTACCAACAACCATTATGGTGAGATGAATAAGATCCCTCTACTTTTAGTCTAAAGATCTGGGTATTGATCACTTCAGAGAAATTGAGTATTTATATTGTGAGATACATGAAAAATGAAATGAGTATATATTTACCAACAACATTTATGGTGACTGGTGAGATGAATAGGATCCCTCCACTTTTAATCTAAAGATATGGGTATGAATCACTTCATCTTAAATTAGTCTACGTGACACAACTTCAAATTAGTTGGAACCTCAATATAAATATTGAACACCAAATAGATAAATAAAATGAATATATATACGCATAAGAAGAAAAAATAATACTACTTACTCCCTCGTCTATGTTACTCATCTTGTATTCCTAAGATACTTAGAACAAAACTTTGAAGAACTTGGTAAGACACAATAAAGTTTAAGAACATTTTCACAACTAGAAAATTAAAACTAGTAGAGAAACTAGAATCAGAAACAGATTAGAAAAAATATACGAAATATTTTTCCTTAAAGAAGAATTGTTGTCAATCTGTGTTTAAAGAATCTTACTAATTCCAACAAACTTTGCAGAAACACAAAGTTACCAAAGTTTAACGAACCAGTGAATAACAGAAGAACATAAATTAATTCACAAATTTAAAATCTGTAACACATACCAGAATCTGGAAAAACAGAAAGAAGATCAAGCCCACTGAATGCACAGGGTCCCCTTAAGGAAATTATTCTCCTCTAGTATTCGAGGTTTGATTTGGAATATGTCCTCCCAGGATAGAATGATCTCAATCACCAGTGTATTGATACCCAAAATGTTGGTGTCAGCGAGCCACTCAACGGCAGTAAAGTACACTTAGAATACTAGATTTAGTAGTAGAAGAAGTCCAGAAAAATTCTATATTTAAAATGAGAGGAAATTCCTCAATTTATAGAAAACAAAGGGTAGTGTGAAAAGGTTCTTATTGTGCCTTACCGGAAAGGTCACAAACCTTTGGAAAAGTCACAATCTTTCGGAAAGGTCACCACCTTTCATAAAAGTCACATTTTTTCATAAAAGTCACAACTTTTTC